ACAAGAACATAATCTGATGCTTGTGTGCGTTATGTAGTGAATCATTGTGCTGTTTTTAACAATTAGGGGTAGTTGCTGCTACTGCTTAATATGGGACTTTAATGTACGTGCTCAGAGGGAGGAAGAGTGTGGTGATGTATGTACCTTTTTTACACTGGCAATCTGCTGAGGATGTCTCAAACAAATCCTTGTTAGTCTATGTCCTGATATTGGTGTGGTGTTGCTTAGTGGGTACCAAGATAACTTGCGGAGGGAATGGAAAGTGGGGTAGTAGCAGTGGCGTGATTTAGTGTTGCGCCAGAGTTTGGAGACACGGAGAGATTTATTCTTCTCGGTCAGTGTGCTTAGCATGGGAGTGCTAGAAAATAATTTCCAGCCCCAGCACCAACATACTTTCGCCTCCAATTTTAGTTAATGATTTTCATAAAAATAAGTCATGTTACGAGCTCCAAAGGTGAACAATAATCTTAAAAATTAGACAAAAAGCAAACCCTGACCTCCAGCAAGATAACTGTCTGTACATCTTTGAGTGGGTGGCTGGAGAAAAGTGAAAAGGGGAAAAAAAACTCCAGTCAAAGCACATCCAAACCTTGCAACTTTTCAAGATGTACTTGTGCTAGAAATTTGAAATAAAAACAAAAATTTCAAGAAATCCGCAGCAAGTTGGGCCAACACTTGTGGAGGGAACAGTTGATATTTCAGTTGACATTTGGCGTTAGCTTTGTTTCTTCCCACACAGATGCTGCCTAACCTACTCAGTATCTTCTGTTTTTATTTAGTTTTAGTTCATGAAACTTTGACATAAACCCTGAAATTGCAATGCATGGTATTGCCTCAAATACTTGAGGGCCTTCAAGCACTCAACATGCAGATGACTTTCTACTCATGGAAACAAATCGGCATGTGTATTATGCAGACCTGATGACCGTTAGTTTATATTTTAATTTAATTGCATTTTAAGAGTTGGATCATTTTTAGTAAAAGCAAGTTAGTGTTTCCTTTTGGGATTATGACAAATGTTAGAGTCCTAGAGCGATACAGCATGGAAGCAGACCCTTGAGTCCAACTCGTCTGGGCCAACTAGAATCCCACTCTGACTTAGTCCCATTTCACAGCAATTGGCCCATATCCCTCTCAACCCTTCCCAATCATGTACCCATCCGGATCCTTTTAAATGTGGTAATTATACTAGCCGCCTCCACTTCTTCTGGTTCCATACATGCACCACCCTCTGCATGAAAAAGTTACCCCTTAGGTCCCTTTTTAAATCGCACGCTCTCTCGTGCGCCCTCCCTGGCAAACATACACACCTTAAACCTCTGCCCTCTAGTTCGGACTCCCCCACCCTAGGGGAAAAAGTCCTTGGCTATTTACCCCATCCATGCCCCTCAGGATTCCATATTTGTCTCAAAGATAAACATCTACAAGGAAGTAACGATGTTTAATTGACTATTTTTAGTTAACTTCCATCCTAAAGAGTTCAAAGACATACTTTTAAATCAGAGGGATGGTAGAATTTTTGTGCACTTTTTTTCATGTGGATTTGTTAAAGCAATGAATGAAAACTTTAACCCGTGGTTGTTACAGGAAGACTTCAGTTCCTGTTTTCCCTCAAAATAGAAATAGAATCAGATGGAGGAATTCATCTAATATTAATTTTCTTTGGTATCTTCAGTGTTCATTCTGGTGCCTCTAGTATCATAGTTGGTACGCCACTTCCAAAAATGGGAACCTGGACCAATTTCTCCCCCTTCTCAAATCTGTGTGGAGCTAACTGCAGCTTCGCTACTGTTACGTTGGCTAATATCTTCTGAGATAAAGGTTGATTTTTGTAGGATTTAGCAACGATTGTTTTTTTTTTCTGGTCTCTGTTTCAAAGATGATAGCTTTTTCTAAAATTTTCCTTGGACTATAAAAAGTTAAAGGTTGATCAGAAATGCCAAGAACAATTCCGACTATGTGTGTAAAGCTCCCTTTTTTTTGCACATTTCAACCAATGAATATTGATTACTTTGTATAATGGTCAATAGATTCATCTGTTAAATCTTGCCTGTCAATGAATTCTATTTGATCTTAAATTAGACTAATTATGAAAAGCTTTTACAACATTGTTGAAGGTGTTTGTCGTCTTTCATTTTCTGGTGACTGTAGCATGAACTGCTAACGGACCAACTGCAGAGAATATTGTATTAACTGCCCTATGATAGCATGCAGATTTTTAAGCCAGTTACTGTATAGGGACAGGAGGAGACCATGTAGCTCCTCCAACCTCTCCTGCATTCCAATGAGATTGCCCCACAAACTGTAAAACATTTGGCTAATCAATTATCATTGATACAAGAGGGTTCCAGAGTACTATCACCCCCACATTTGTTGAAGTGTTCCCTATAATATCACTCCTGAAAGTTTTTTGCTTCTAATTTTTAAGATTCCGCTGCCAATTCTAGATCACCTATATCGTTTTGATCAAAGGTATTAAGAGAAACTGTTAGTTTCAAAATCAAATGCTCCAATCCCATTAACATCCTTGTAAATGTTTTCTGCGCCCTTTCCAATTTAATAATATCCTTCCTATAGCAGGGTGACCAGAACTGTATATAGCGCTTCAAAAGTGGCCTCACCAACATCCTGTACAACTGCAACATGACATCCAAACTCCTATACTCAATGGTCTCAACAATGAAGGCAAACATTCCAAATGCCATCTTAACCACCCTGTCTGCCTGTGACACTCCTTTCAAGGAGCTATGTGCCTGAAGTCCTGGGACTCTCTGTTCGATAACACTCACAGGGCCCTACTATTAACTGTGTAAGTCCTGCCTTTGTCTTACTGAAGTCTTAGCAAAATGCAACACCTTGTATTTATTGAAATTAAACTTCATCTGCCACTCCTTGGCCCGCTGGCCCACTTGATCAAGGTTCACTTATAATCTTTAGATAACCTTCTTTACTGCCCACTATACCACTAGTTTTGGTGTCATCTGCAAATTTACTAACTATGCTTCCTATATTCTCATTCAAGTCATTTATAGAAGTGACAAACAACAGTGGACCCAGCACTGATCCCTGCGCAACACCGTTAATCACAGGCCTCCTATCCGAAAAATGAGCAAAGTGCAATGATTCGAAGTACTTGGTACTTCGATAGTTGATGGTTTTGTGCATAGATTACAATCTGATGGTTTTGTTACATCTGCACTAATGTTAATTAATAATGTTGGTCATTTGATGCAAATGTACACTTGTCTTTACAGCATAAGTACAGCACAGAGGTGCATATGAAGTGGCTTAAAAGGTGGTTCACAGTATTTATGCTCCACTAAGCCTTCTAGTTCATTACTGCTAAGTCTACCAATTCATCCTTTCATTATTTCCTGTTATTTGGGTTGGCTTTTGGACTGTTTTTCTGCACCATGTGCCATTCCACACCAGAGTAATATGGTAATAGAAACGTGCAGAATGGAGGCAGACTGTTTGGAGAGCAGTCCTTACCTTTGCAACTTCTCATGGCTGAAGTCCCTTATCTCTGATAACATCCTGTAAGCCTGTCCCATCATCTAAGGCCTTGTTATCTTCCCTGAAGTGCAGTTCCTGAGCTTGTTTGTGGTGGTTTGGCCAAGGCCCTGGCTGCAGGAGAAAAGAATGATTGTTGTGAAGAAGGCCAATCATGCATTCTTAAACTAAATTTTATAAGTGTCTTACTCTGTTTGGACAAAATGTTTCCTTTTGTAAGTATGGCCATATTTAGAACGTTTAGGTCTCTCCCTTTTGCAATGCTGAAGTGTGCTGTGTTAATTTCCAAGTTTATTTAATTGGCTTCTCACCAGGCTTTCCTAAATGGCTTCCATGCTGGCTGCATGTGAAATGATGCTTGCTGTGAGCTATCTGTTTCTGATTGGACACACTCTCTCTCCTCAGCCACGAGTGTTGCATTGGTTGTTTTCATAAATCCATTTGATTTGAATTCTGACCAACTTTTAGCAGATAAGTTGCTGTCCCCAGACTTGGCTTTCATTTCAGATACTAGAGCCCACAAAAGCACCAAAGTAACTGGTCTGCAACAGCACTGGTAACTTGACTGCTTGAGGAGTTAGCAGGATAATGTGGCAGGAGAAAGCAAAATAGAACGAATGCTGGAAATCTGCAATGAAAACAAGGGGGCTGGAGAAACACAGCAAGGCTGGCAGCATCCGTGGCGATAGAAACAGAGTTAACTCTGAGTCCTGTATGACATTTCTTCAGAACAGAACTCACCACTAAGTTTGTTTCTCTGTCCATGGAAATTTCCAGACTTGCTAAATTTCTCCAGCATTTTCTGCTTTTATGCTCAAATAATGTGACTTGGTGTTTTGTAGCTGTTTGTTGTTTCTTCCTCTACTCAAGCTGTAGATTGTTACTGGTGTACAATTTCACTGATGCTACTCCCTACTGCTATTTTCAGGTATAGGTATGAGTGAATAGACTTTTTTGTTTTAAACTGCATCTAACTCCAAACCATGCATACTTCCAACAGAGTTCATTAAGTAGCAGCTGAGATTTGGAGCCTTGACTGAACCAGGGTTGTCAAGACCCATTATAATACCCTTCGAGCTACGCCAGCCGAGATCAAGGTAGATTGGAGGTTTAGCTGTGACTTTCTGCTCCAGTAACAATGTAGAAAGATGTAAATAGCAACAACAAAATTGCCTTTCATAAAAGCAAACCAAGTCATCAGATAGGGCTGTCATTTTGAATGGTAATTCCACAAACATTGAATTTACTCACGTGTAACTTCATCAGTATCCCATAATCATCTGAAGACTTGCTGTTTAAGAGGCAGTTATACAAAATGTTCTTTTCTTGCATATTTTGCAGGAATCTCCCTTACCACTGTATTATGCACAGCAACAATCCTGAGTCTTGCTGTTGTCATTGTTTTAAATACTTGCTGTTACGAGGTGCCATTTGAGAAGTTGATGGGATCATTGCATTCAATAACATGCTGCCTCAATTTCTTCCAGGGGTTGCTCGGAGTTGTACAAAATGCACACCATGGACATGAAAGGTGAGAATGACAACATACCACATGGATTGAGACCACCCTACAGAACCAACGCTCTGCAGTGGAGCAGTCCCACAATTCACAGTGCATCACTGTCTCAGCGTTGGACAGGATCTACACACAATCCGATATCAAACTGGAGCCAGACCTCCAAACAACAGGGAGTCCCAGTTGCGTATAGTGATTCACAAGCCAAGAACAAGCGGTGAGTTTTTCATCCAGAATTCTGTAGAAGGGAAAAGGCAGAGAGGTGCCCACACTGAGGTCTTTAAAATTAAGAACGGATTTGATAGAGTAGATGTACAGAAATGCCTCCACTTGTGCGGAAGACGACAACTAAAGCCTAGAAATAGAACATAGCGGTAATAAATCCAACTGGGAATTCGGAATAAATTTCTTTCCTTGGCATGTGGTTGCATTTGTGGAACTTGGATTGGTTTGAGACAAATAGTATTGAGGCACTTTAGGATAAAGTAGGTTGGGGCCAAAGCTTAAGTAGAGCAAAATTGCTGATAGAAACCAGTTGAGTCGTATGGCTTGTTTCAGTGCTGCAAATACCATACACAGCTGCTCTCAAGATAAAATTTTCTTAGCTGAGACATCTGGCACATCGCAGCCAATTAAATGAATTCAGGAGGATTGTTAGATGACAGCAGCTCAGCATTCAAAATGAAATTAGATGTTTGTGTTCACTGCAGAAGATCTTTGCCTTGCATTGTTCTGACATTGATCAGTTCCCTCTGATTGTCATCACCCATCAAGGTGCAGGTCCTTGGGGAATGGAATGCATTCCATCCCCAGTGTCAGTTGTCAGGGTTAAGGTTAAGCACGGTACAGCACTGCGAACTGCGGAGGAAAGCTGCCTTTGCGCTGGCCTACAAAGTTCCTCTACAACCTCCAAATGAGAGGCATTTTCCATTTCCTGCACCAGTGAGCTGACTGACATTGTCAATTAATATGTTAATTGGTGCAGTTTTGTGCTTCTAGCTTCATTAGCACTATAGACTTGAATTGGGTTAAGACTGCACCTCTCACTGAGCTACATTTTAAATCAAGTCCAAGAAGTAACAGATAATAAGTAATCCTCTTGCTTTTCTGTCTCCCAAGTATATGAAAACCAGAAGGCAATCAATGTGTTACTGCTTCAATTCTTGACTCTTCCCCCATCCCTTAACTTAATAGTTCTTTAAGAGAAGGAACCCAATACTACAGTTATTTCTAACGCTTATACGTTAAGCAGTTAGAACAGGATGGTATGTCTGGAAGTGCTTTCACTCATCCGTGAGCTCCATTTGAATGTATCTGATCCACCCTTAAAGTGGTCTAACTTTTTGGATTAAGAAATAAAGACGTGCATTTCTGTAGTGCCTTTCGTGCTCTCTAATGTGCAACCAACTAAAGGTTTTTCAAATGTAGTCGCTATTGTAATGCAGGAGACCCCAAAGTTAGTTTGCGCACAGCAAATTCCCACAGCAGCACGCTATTTGTTTGTGATGTCAGTTGAGGGACGAACATTGGCCATGGTTCTCCTGCCATTCTTGGAAATAGTACCTTGGGATATTTGACATTCACAAGGTGGGCTAGGCCTCAGTTTAACATAACCCATCCAAATGATAGAATTGCCTAAGGTGCAGAACTCCTGCAATGCTGTGCAGGAGTGTCAGCTGAAATTTTTGTTCAAGCCCTGGAGTGGGGCTTTGGAGACAAGTGCTAACTAACTGAGCCACGGTTGGAAGCCAAATCTTAATAAAATCAATAATAATGGTACATAGCTGATCCTTGGTGTTTGAATCTTTTTAACAATATGCTGGCCTGAAATCACATGAAGCCAGGCAAATTAACAAAGACCTGTTGACAAGTGTTAGAAGCATGTCTCCTGAGATCAGAACAAAGTCAGCCATCAAAGTTGAAGTGCTTTGTGCAGACATATTTAGCAAGTTGGCGCACTGAGATTCTAGATTTTTGAACGGATGTGAAATGCCTAAGTTTGCCAAGGGGTACTTTCCTTTTGTGCTGTGTTTGAATGTGAGCCTCCTCCAACTTGTCTTGCTTTTAGATCTGTACAGTGCATCCTTGTAAGTGATATAACTTGGTCATATCAAAAGCATTTTGGCTTGGGGTTTTCATCTGGTTATGACAGCAGAGTCCTTGTCAACCGTCCTGGATTTCCTTTCTTAAAAGCTGCAAACTGAATATGATGTGTTCCTTGCCAGAGTTGACAAGATAATGACCTAATTGGACATTTGCATGGCCAAAAGAACTCTGTGCTAAGGTATAATGAAGTCATAGTCATGCAGCACAGAAACACGCCTGTTAGCGCAGCTTGTCCCATTTGTCTGTCTTTCGGCCCATATTCCTCTAAACCTTTCCTATCCATATACCTGTCCAAATGTCTTTAAATGTTGTAATTGTACCTGTGGCAGCTCCTTCCATGTATGCACCACCGTCAGGTGTCAAAAAGTTGCCCATTAGGTCCCTCAAATCTTTTCTCTCTCGCCTTAAATCTGTCTGCTAGTTTTGAACTCCCCTACCTCAGGAAAAAGACTCTTTGCTATTCACTTTATTTTTGCCTCTCGTGACCTTATAAACATCTATAAGGTCACCCCACAACCTCCTACGCTCCAGGGGTGAAAAGTACCAACCTATCCAACCTTTGCTTATAACTCAAACCTTCCAGTCCTGGTAATATATCTTTCTTTGTAAATCTTTTTTGCACCCTTTCCAGTATAATAACATCTTCCCTTATAGCAGGGTGACCAGAATTGTACACAAGCCTTATCAATGTCTTGTACAGCCACCCATACAATAGCCTGACTGAATTGCATCTAGTTACATCAGCAAGACCTTGTAGAGCATGTATTTAATGCAGTCAATTCAGCCATGGCTCAGTTAGTAACACTCTTGCGTCTAAGACTGAAGGTTAGGAGCTCAAATTCCACTCTAGGGGTTTCAGTGAATTGTCTAGGCAGATGCTGCAGTGAGGTACTGAGGGAATGCTGTGCTGTCATTGATTTTGTTTTAGATGAAGCATGATGTGCAGCTCCTCCTGTCCTCTTGGAAGTTCTCCATTTGAAGAAGAGCAGGAGGAGTTCTTGCTGGTTGTTCTGGCCACTGTGTCTTCCCTTTTGTGGAAGCTGTTTGCCATATTCCCTGAGCTAAAGCAGTGACAACACTCCAGAATTTTGACAAATTGATGGACTATTACATGTTTTAGTCTGTTCTGAGGTTGTAAAATGCACTATGTAAACACATCTTTTATTCTCCAGATTAGAAAAAGCAATTTTGTTAGATCAGAACATGGATGAGCTCCAGAGAGATTTCTGTAGGTGATCTACTGTTGAAATGTTCTGTATGGTTACCTGTAGTAACTGCAGGTATCTTTTGCTTTGGTTGAAACATTGTATGCTCCCCTTTTCACAGAGAATGTCAGCAATGCCACCTTACAGCAATAAGATTTTTACATCAAAGTAAATAAATTATCATTAAATGTATAGAGATAACAAGGTGTAGAGCTGGATGAACACAGCAGGCCAAGCAGCATCAGAGGAGCAGGAAAGCTGATGTTTCGGGCCTAGACCCGCCTTCAGAAATGTATAGCACTTGTTTTAGTCAAATTGGTGTTCCTCAAACAATTCCTTTATTTTCCAGACCAGTTAGCTACCCAGAAACTCTGTACAGTACAGCATCCACTGCTGCAGTTGAAAGAGGTCAGCCATTTCGTAACCCTTCCGGAAGCTTCTCTTCACCGGCATCGGGAGGTATTCTATCCAGTCGACAAAAAGCTATTAACGACAGGTAGGAGCAATGTAGCTCACTTTTACGTTAGTTGAAACTGTGGTTACAGGAAACATGGACTGGAATGGGGATTAAGGATGCTTTCTGGTTCAGATCTACTCCCCCTGTGAAGTTATGACTCTGCAGGTTCCTGGACCCCAGTATTATTTTCCTTCCATAGTGAAGCTTGCAAACGCTCAGAACTAAAACTGCTATACAAGCAAGGAGGTTATGCTAGTCATCTATAAAACACTAGTTAGACAGAGAACTAAGATATCACATGCAAATTTGTTCACTGCTTCACAGAGAATTTACAAGTCTATTGCCAGGAATGAAGAAGTTCACTACTAAAATTTTGGATTGACTGGGATTGTTTTCCTTTTGAAATAACAGCTGCTGAGGGGAGATTTATTTAAGCTGCATAAAAATGAGTCCGTATGCAATGTATAGGAACAACCGACTTTCCTCAGTAAGCAGGTCAATAATGAAGGGGGTGGGGTGGGAGATTTAAAGTATTGTGAAGAAATGCTTTTTCTCTGGTTGGCAGGGGCCTGGAGTTCGGTGTCGAAAATGATAGTGACAGAACCCCTCAGCATGTCAAGTACATAATCTAAGTTGTTTTTAAGATGTGATAGCCTACAGGCTAAGAGCTGGTAAATGGGATTCAGCCATATCACTGTCTTTTGGTTGTGAGAGAGTGGAGCCACTGGCCACCTGGATGCTGTAAAGCTAAATTTTCATTCGGGTTGTAAATATTCAGTGCTTCACTAAATATTTTCTTTTTGTTCTGTTTGCTTCTATGACCTGCAAGGAATCATTGTTCTTTCAAGGTGTGTTAATTGCTGACAAGGCCAAAGTTTATCACCCATCTGTCATTGCCGTTAAAGGTGTTCTTGATAGACTCAGACTCCGCTAGATGTGTGTGATCAGTGTTGGAATCTGTTGTTCATTCCATCACTTGGTTTTAATATTTTATCTGAAAGACTGTTGAAAGCCAGCATACAGTATTGGTCACCTTATTTAAGGAAGGATGTAAGTGCATTAGAGGCAGTTCAGAGACTATTTACCAGACTAGTACCTGAAATGGACAAATTGCCTTAGGAGGAAAGATTGAATAGGCTCCAGTATACACTGGAGTTGAAAAGAGTAAGAGAGAACTTGACTGAAACATGCAAGATCCTGAGTGAATCCTTGACTGGGTAGATGTGGAGAGGATGTTTTCTCTTGGAGGAATATCTAGAACTGGGGGGTCACTGTTCAGAATGAGAGGTTGCTCATTTAAAACAGTGAGGTGAAAATTTTGAGTCTTTGGAACTCTGGCTGAGAAGGTGATAGGAGAGTCCTTGAATATTTTGTTAAAGCAGAGATAGATTAGTCTTTAGCAAGAGGTGACAAGATTTTCAGGGGTAGGCAGAAGTGCACATTTGAGGTTAGAATCTGAGCCATCATTGATTGAATAGTGGAACAGGTTCGAGGTTGAATGACCTGCTCCTGCTCGTGATTGTCAGTTTTAATATCACAATACAGCTCTAGTCTATGTACATCTTATTGAAAGATAACCGGAATTGCTGGAAATGCGCAATAGGTGGATTGGCAGCTGAAAATAAAAAGAAACTGAACATATGAACTTCTCTTCATCAGACTTCAAGATATAACCTTGGGAGATGTTCCTGTGTTTCTTCCAAGAGACTGTGTATTTCTGCTATTTTCTGATGTTTCAAATGCCAACTTGGGACTGTGCAGGTTGTATTTTAAAATGAAAGAAACCTTGGATGTATTGTACCATTAAAAACCCTCAGAATTGCACAGAAGTACTGCCTGGTTATGAAGCTGTAAAATGCCCTCACTGAAAGCTTTCCAGTGACTTCTGGACTGTGCTTCCCTGCCCTCCCGCCTCCATCGCTGTTGGATTAAGTGGCAGTACAATTTTTTTGTATTTGTAATGGGAATATTGTGACCAGCTATATGATGGGAATGAGGTAGTTAATGAAAGAACAAAAACAAAGTTGCTGGAAAAGCTCAGCAGATCTGGCAGCATCTGTGGAGGAGAAAACAGTTAACGTTTCGGGTCCGGTTACCTTTCCTCAAAATTGTCAAGTGACACTCGAGCATCACACTGCCACTTAATCCAACAGCGATGGAGGGGGGCAGGGAAGCACAGTTCCGAGGAAGGGTCACCGGACCCGAAACGTTAACTCTGTTTTCTCCTCCACAGATGCTGCCAGACCTGCTGAGCTTTTCCAGCAACTTTGTTTCTGATCCTGATTTACAGCATCCGCAGTTCTTTTGGCTTTTAGTTAATGAAAGGTGTTGATTATTCTCTAGATGCCATAAATCCACGCAACCTCATGTGTATCAAGTTATTGCAGATTTTACCAACCATTGTTTGGAATTGTCACTTTACTAAGGTTTCATTTCCAGCCTTGCCTTATGTCTTACTCTCTGTTTTTATGACAGAAGTTATTTTAAGTTCTCAGAGGTTGGCCAGCATTGATGCAGAGGTGAAGACCTTTTGTAGAGTTCTGCTGAAAGTTCTGTGTGTAATGCCTACCTTTTACTGCCGTTGATGGATATGCTGCCTGTGGCAGAGCATTTTTTGTTTCTTAATTTAGAGTTCCAACACTTAAAAGTTTTCTGATTTACACTTCTGTACTGGCACAAAGCTACACTGCAGAAAATTAAATACGAGAGGTCAAAATGCTGGTTCAGCAAAGTTCAATTATACACTTATCAGTTTTACTTCTATTTCACACACCATAAACTGCAACACAATGCTTACTACTTCCCGATTTTATATAACCCCTTCTCTCTCAACTTTCTCAATATTCAATCATCTCTGGATCCCTGGTTCCATTAGGTTGCAGGGATTCCCTGCCAGACCTGCTAGATGATATGCTAACACGTCAGTGGGAAAAATACAACCTTCTTGTTCCTGCCAGCAGAGCTGTTGTTGCTTGGAGCCGAGCCCGTTTATAAATCTGTGTTTCAAGTCCACATCCTTCTGTTCTCTCAAAAAATGGAATCTAATTGAGCAGGCGTTGGCAGTGGTCCACAAGCATTTGCAATGAACTTCGTTTCTTGCTTGCAACAGACCTACTTTAAACTCTCACCTGGTGCCATTATTCTCATTCCATTCCCATCCTATTCCTATGTCCCTGTCATAATACCTCATTTCTTACACCATCTCACCCTTTCCTCCTGTACCATTCTAATTCACCATTCCAACCCCCTTCAAAGCATTCACTGCTCCCACCACACTATCCAATGCATGTCATCCCACCCATGCTTTCACCCCTTTTGCAGAATGCATTGTTTGGCCAGATTGTTCTGCACCTGTGGGATAATTACTGGTTAGTTTTGACATTAGAGAACTTTAAACTTCCCACCATTGTGCAAAATTTAAATAGAGTGAAAGATTGGTGAAAACTACTGTTGGTCCCTTCCAATCAGAAAGAGGGGAATGTATAATAGGGAACAAAGAAATAGCTGACAAACCAAGTTCATACTTTATCCATTTCCTTCTCTGAGAAGTCAAGAGATGTACTAGAAATGGCAGGGAACACAGGGTTTAGTGAGAGTGAGGAAGGGAACCAACACTATTAGTAGAGAAATGGTGATTGTGCAATTGATGGGATTGAAGGCTGATATACCCCCTGGATTTGATAATCTACTTCCCCAGAGTACATTCAGGAAATAGCACTGGAAACAGTGGTCATCTTCCAAGAATCTGTAGATTCTAATTAGCTCCTATGGATTAGAGCGTAGCTAATATAACCCTATTATTTTAAAAAGAGGTAGAAAAAAGATGAAATAATTAGACTAGTAAGTCTGATGTTGGTAGTGAGAAGATGCTAGAGCCCTTTATCAAGGGTTTTGTGATGTGGAGGTGCTGGTTTTGGACTGGGGTGGGCAAAGTCAAAAATCTCACGATACCAGGTTATAGTCCAACGGGTTGATTTGAAGTCAGAAGCTTTCGGTGCTGCAGGGGCTGCGCTTCGAAAGCTTGTGATTCAAATCAACCTGTTGGACTGTGAACTCTTGTTGTGATTTTTGACTTTGTCAAGGATTTTACAGCCGAGCACATAGAAAACAGTAGTAAATTTACACAGTCTGCATGGATTTACAAAAAGAGCAATCATGCTTAACAAATTGACTGTAATTCGTAGAGAAGGTAACTAGTACAGTTGACCATGGGAGCCAGTGGATGTGGTATATTTGGACTTGAGGGAGGGTTTTGACAGACTCCCACGAGAGATCAATGTACAAAGTTGAAGCGCATGAGAATGGGGTCATCTATTGAGATAGACAATTGGTTAGCAGATGGGAAACAAAGTAGGAATAAAGGATTCTTTTTCTGGATGGTAGAGAGTGACTGGTGGGGTGCTACGGGGGTTGGTGTTAAGACCCCAATTATTCGCTATATATTTAATGACTTTGAGGGAACCAAATGTAGTATCTCCAAGATTACAGATCCCACAAAGCTCGGTGGAAAGCAAGCTGTGAGGATGACGCAGAGATGTTGCAGTGTGATTTGAACAGGCTGAGTGTGCGCAAATTCATGGCAGAAGCTTTATAACGTGGATAAATGTGAAGCCCTCATGATTCAGTCACTGAAAGTAAGCATGCCAGTTCAGCAGGCAGCAAAGAAGGTAAATTGTATGTTGGCCTTCATAGTAAAAGGGTTCAAGTACAGGAACAAGGATCTCTTGCTGCAATTATACAGGACATTGGTGAGGCCACACCTGGATTACTGCCTGCAGTTTTGGTCTCCTTATCTGAGAAAGGATGCTCTTGCTACAGAGGGAGTGCAGCGAGTGTTTACCAAATTAATTCCTGGGATGGCAGGAATTGACATGAGAGATTGAGTCAGTTAGGATTATAATCATGGAGTTTAGAAAAATGAGGGAGGAATCTCAACCTTTAAAATTCTAACAGGACTCGACCGGTTAGATGCAGAAAGTATATCCCCGATGGTGGGGGAGTCCAGAACTAGTGATCATAGCTTAAGGATAAGGGGCAAA